AAAAAAAAAAAAAGAATGAAGCACCTAAATCTGTGATCCCTCTGAACAAATTAACTGGGAAAACAATTTCAAATGGAGGAGAAGGAGAATTTGTAAAGAGTGGAATTTGAGGGTTCAGCGGTCGATGGATGCCTCAGGCCCAAAATCATAAGGGCTATTTTGACCCAAAAGTTTTTTTTTTTTTTTTTAATATTAGAAGGAAAGGGAAAATAATTTTTTTCATGATTGAGATATTTATTTGTTGTTCTAATATTAAATTTTAAGTTGACAATATGTTACATAATACATCGTTGAATTTTGCATTTACGTTGATTTTTGAGAACCTAATTTTTGGATTTCGCCTCGGGACCCGACAAACACAGGACCGACCCTGAATTGTATAGTGGAGTTTTGTAGAAAAGGTAGGGCTCAGAGAGTATTAGGGCCTTTATTATGTAAGGCTGGGAAGCGGGCCGTGCGTGTGAAGAAAGAGAGGCTGCGTGTGTATTGGTGAATAAGAGAGAAGAAGTTTCCAGGAAAACAATTTTGGAAAAAAAGGTTGAATCCCAACTTTGAGGGTCCTCATCGTCTCGTCCATAGAATTTTGTGAGTGAGGTAAATTGCGGGATGTACCCCAATAGGTCAGGGAACAAGAGCTACCCGTACACTACACCTACAAGAAGTCCAATTCCATATTTCAGGAATCGAACCCCCACACTGCGGCTGCCAGCAAGGCGTCATGTCCTTTGCACCACTAGGCTATGCCCCGGAAGAGGTGGTGCCAAAACCGGTTCAGTTGATTTTGAACCCAACTTCGAAACCCGAATCAAGTTGGTCAATTCGGGTAAAATAAAATCTAAATTGACTCAATTCCATCCATAAAATTGAAACGTACCCAAATTTAGACAAAATGTCCAATGGACAAAGAGATGAGGCAGAGAGAAGTTGTAGCCAATGACAATTGTCGATCTGATTGGTGATGAAGGGTGAGGCGAGTGTTTTGATTGTCGTCTTTGATCCTTCGGCCTGGAAACTAGAAAGGTTTGAACTTTGGAGTTCAAATCATGTTTCGTATATTTTATTATTTGATAGTGTTAAGCTTTCAAATAAATTAAATAAAAAACTTTTATATGGTCATATTGAGTTGATACCACCAATTAGAGAATTGACTCGACTCGACCCACATCTTCCAACAAATTGAATTATCCCAACCAAACCGTCACCAACCAAAGATCGACCCAAACTGACCTGTATCTGGTTGGGCCATTCATTTGGGCAATTATTTTCACTCATCCTTAGTCGAGTGGCAATAGGATTCAAATTTCCCTTAGACTAATTCCAAGTTAGTTTAGTTCGAGTGAAGACAACAGACATGATCCTAATTAAGTTATCGAGAAAAAGAACATTTTAATTCCCTCCTGATCCTGCTTTTTAGAAATTTTCGATGGACTGGATGGGCAAGGAGGACAACCTCGATCCCACCCTGTCTCATTATCATCCTTATGAGAGCTGATGCACTTTTGATGGGGTGTCAAATGGTAGGTCAACCCTTAATTGCACAGCGTGTTCGATGGGCCATGACAATTGACTGGCCACCTATTGAAAAGGTTGACCATTTGACACATCTAGCCAAGCGCATTGACTCTTGTACAAATGGCAGTGGGCCCTTGCCCAAGCTGATCATTTTTAAAAACCTTCAAATATTAGGTTATAATTAACATACGTAAATATTTCCATCCTCAAATCAAGAATTCAGTTACAACATATTTTCATTCCAAAGACGTCTCTCCATTTGAACATACTGTAACCACCGAACAAAAGAGAAGCCACGGTGAAATTTTTAATGCCAAAATTCTCAATCCCCAGCGTTGGAATTTTGCTCAGTCAAACCGGCACAGGTCACAAATTGGAAATTATCGGCACTCTGGAGCAGATACTTTCAAAGCAACAATCACACATGTAGGTGATTATAGAGGTAGATAATTGAGCATGGTCATCATCCCAAGTGTTTTGAGCTGGTTCGAAGTCACAATTGGTGAAGAGTTGGATCTTCCAATATTTGAATTGATAAAATCACCCTTTCCAATTGTGAGATGTTGTGACTGAAATCAAAAAGTTGAGGGTATGTGATTTAGCTTTTCTTTGAGCTCCATTTTGAGGGGAAAAATTGTATTTTGGAATAGTGTTCTTCGGAGAACGTGTAGTTAAAAAAAAAGTTTTCGATTTACATGTAATTAAAAATAAATTTTGAAAAAAATGAATTTTTTATAAAATGGGGCTCAAATAAGGGCCTAATGTGTGGCTGCAAATTTTCCTTCTTATAATTATAGGTTTCTCTAAGAGAGTTGCTAGATGTACAGAAAATTTTTTTTACGGACCCTTTATAGAATACACACAGTTTGAGGTGGGTGGGTAATTTTTTAGATTATTTTACTCACATGGGATCCACTCCCTATGTGAGTATCTGGAATTTTTCTTTGATGGAAAATTCTGTACACCTTTTTCTAAAGAGGAAATTTAGATGTTCAAATTTGCATTGTTTAATGCAGCCTGCCTGCATGGGAGATAATTTTCAAAATGGCAGGTCAAATCACTTAAACTTTTCAATTGATAAAAAGTCTAAATTACCCTTAATGAATTCAAATAAATATATTGCAGAATTAGTCCTATCTTTCAGGTTTATCTTGTATTCCTTCTATTTTGAATATCAAAATATAAATTCATTCTATGATCTAATAAATTAGAATAATTTATAACATATTGTTCGTATTTTTCTTTAAATCTATTATATTCTTCAGATAGTATATTAATATTTTCTAACTGAGAAGTAATATTATTTATATTTTCTAACAATTTTTCTAGTAAATTATCTAATCCTTTAATTGTATATCCTGGCATCAAACTATCAATATTATGATAAATAATCTCTAAATTTTTCTTCTTAGGCTATGAATAAAAGTCATAAGAACTTCATAAATAACATGAGTGCAACAATTAATGCAAGTATTTGATATAAATAAGAAAGATCTTACAGTATTGAAGCTGAAGATAAAGGCAGAGTAATATCAATGAGATTTCCCTTGAGCTTGTACCCATATGTTAATATACTCATATATAAGTGATCGGTGCTGTTTGAATTTAAGAAAGTGGGTTATGGTCCAACATGACTTCTACACATAATTGTTTTTCTCTCTGACTCTTTTGCATATCTCACAATGGATCACACGGAATCACATTTTTCCTTTCAACTCCTTGTTAAAACATCACCTTGAATGGTAACAGGGTTCTCAATGCTTTCTCAACAATGCTAAAACACCTACACACTGTAAAACAGCAACAAGATACTTGCACTAACCCCTTTATCACTACTTTAACTGTGTAAGATATTGGGTATCTTACTATGGCCTAAAGTTTTCTTGTTATAATTTGAAAATAATTGAGGTAAACTCACAGTTTTTCTTTATCAAAATGATTTTGATAAAATAGTGATAAAAGGGTCCCTTACTTTTCCATATGTGACTCAAACCACTCTTCTGAAAATTCTGATGGGTCAAGAGAGATTGGTGACATGTCGCCTTCAGTGCAACAACACTCACACTTATGATTAGGATAACGTCAAAACTGTTTGCACAGCTCTTCTTTTGTTTTCTGTGTCCCACTAGTTTGTCCTTCAAATAGATGATCACACCATGTGTCGAGATAGTGCCAATCTTTTTGTTTAGTGGGTGCAACAGTTTTACTGTAAATCATGTAATCTCGTGACTCGTAAATCCAAATATTTTATTTTTCTTCAATAACCTTTTAGATATGCTCAAACTGCTCCTTATATCCTTTGGCTCTACGAAATGCTATCATCTTGATAGTGTCTTCTGGTATTGTTTTGTGAACTTCACTTTTCTCGGGCTAGAAATGGTTAGAAGTGGTAGCTATTCTTATAACATGCCTTACTGGAAGCAACTTATTTTTTTCATCTTTCCATTCAGGACAAGCAGAAAAAAACCTAATATAAATATTTTTTGTTTAAGAACTTGACAATATCTTTCAATAGCTCAGATAACATCCTTTGGTAGCATAGAAATTTCTTTTAATGATTCAGACGGGTAAATACAAATTATATTTCCCATTTCATAAAGAGTGCGAACCTAATAAGCTGGGGCTCCTTCATATAGATTAACTTTGTTATAAGTTCCATATGTTAGAGTTTTCATCCATCCTCCTATACTGGTGAACCAGCAGCAGGCAAGATTGAACAATACGTATACCAAAATAAAATCATCTTTATTTTTTATATCCATAACACTAGGGGTGTTGCAGGCTTTGATAATATTTGAGCGATTTAGCTCTGGTATAGAGATACTATCCTTTTGTATAAATTTTCTCCGGTGAGGGAGACAAAGTAGTATTCTCCTTGACAGATAGATTATGAAGCTTCAATGCTTCTTGTTCAATATTGGCATAAAAACCTTCAGATTTATTGGCACTAGGGCCTTCAGATAATATAGCCCTGTTGGCTTTCTCAGATACTGGCTTGGCGGCAACCATTTCCATCATTGTTATCCTAGATTCTATCACAGCTATCTTCACATTCATCTCGAACTTCAATGGTTTCACTTGAGTATTATCAGTTCTAATAAAAAACTTCTTTGGTAACAAATAAGGTTCAAATTTTGCTACTCCTTTCTTAACAGCCAAAATTTTTTTACGATTAATATCATATCTGATTTCTACATCCTTAAAAGCACCTGAAGTGTATGCAACAAGTTCTTCTGGGCATTTACACAATGAATTACAAAGAAATTCTTTATGATTTTCTTTTCTTTTTAGGATCGCTCCCCAATGTAATAGAGATACATCAGTTTCTAAAATATAGAAATCATCATCATTTGGAATATTTAATTCAGGTAATTTTTCACATATTTTATTTATTTTGTTTATCATTTCAATATCGTCTTGTGTCCATTCCCATACAACTCCTTTTCTAAACTTTTTGGTAAAGTGGACTTTGTATTTTGAACAGGTTTTTATAAATTTTCAGAATAATTTAATAATCCAATAAAGCTTTGCAGCTCTTTTTTATCTCTAATTATTTCTGAAAATTCGATAATCGTTTTTCCAATTTGTGGTTGTTGGAGTATTTTTCTCTTCTGTAAAAATATAT